TTTTTTTTTTTTTTGCGTCATTTTGGTCTAGAAAAAAAGAAAACTTAAGCGTTGAGCTAAATAAATATAGCGTCCATTAATAAAGAACAAAGAATTGAGACAACCAAATAACACAGAAACTGAAAAGATTGTAAAAAAATTTGCACGCCGAATTATTGTCCAGAAGAAAAGCCTCCTTTTTTTTTTTGTCTTTGAAAGTATGATGGATTAAGAATAACCACACATTCCACTGAAGCATCAAACAAATAAAGCAACATTAACAAACTGGTTTGAAATGCTGATGACAAGAAAAAAAAAGGTAGAGAGATGGGAAAAAAAGGTACAAACAGACGCATCAACAATTAATCAAAATTAAAATGATCAAAAAAGAAAAAAAAACAAATGTAGAAAAAAGATCTCAAAGAAAAAGTGAAAATTTTATGTAAAATTTTTTTCAGTCTTTTTTTAAAACAAAGAATTACTACTGTTCAAATAAATAACAAAAAAAACTTCATTTTTTAATGTGCACGAAAAAATGTACATCATAAATGAACTGCAAAAAAATATACATTTACAATAAAAAAGATTCTTCTTCAGCAAATATCAACAAAACAAAACTAAAGAAAAAAAAGCTCAACTTGAAAAAAACAGTTAAAACCAACTGTAAAAACTGAGAAAAAAAATTGGATTTCTTTATTTCACTGAAAAAAAAAGTTTTAATCACTGTAAACAATTGTCTTTGTCGTTGTCGTCGTCACCTTCGGTATCACTAACAAATCGTTCACTCCATATTACCGTCATTTTAGTAACTACAGTGACGACCTTCAGCCATAACTTTGTAGTATCAGCCTGTTTCCCGCTACCTGTAAACATCATACAGTGAACAAATTATCCGCTCTAAATTATCTGTCAGTCTTCTAAAAAACTTCCAACAAACCAAACTCTACAGCCGATTCAGACAATCAACAGTTAAGAGTAAAATTCCTCGGCAACATCTACAAACATTTCTATAACAAAAAACTTCGAAGAATTTGGCAGTAGG